ACTAAAAAAGTTTTAAAAAAGGGATTGTTTTTCAAATTAACTTCAACAAAGATTTTCGAAAAATGTTTTCAAAATAAAATTAATTTTTAGTTTTAAAAAAGGATTTTTTTAATGAAATAAACCCCATATCAATATGCAATATCCTCAACCCCGTCCATAGAGTATATATATACTACAGGGCCCATTATCTATATTGTGCCTAGCTAGCTAACCACAATAAGAAAAAAAAAACTCGAAATCTAAAATATTGTTTTCTCGACATTTTCCATGTCTAAGCAATTATTAAAATTTTAGATTTTTAAACATCTAAATCGTCACTACTGTCATGTGCAAGGGAACAAATCAATAAATCCATCAATCAGTAAGTCAATTTTTAACAATCGATTTGTACATACTAGTTCAAATAATCATTAGTTAAGTTACTATAATTGAACTGATAGTTTAGGGATGATAAGTAAATTTGTTTTATGATAATTGATAAATTAGCATAGGATTGAAGGCTTTTAATCAGCTTGCTAGTCGTGCTTTTATCAGCTAGCTGGCTGATTGCTTTAATCAGCTAACAGGTCAAGGGTCAGGCTGGTAGCTTTAATCAGCTAACTGGTCCAGGATCAGGCTGATAGCAATAATAAGCAAACTGGTCCAGGATCAAGCTGGCTAACTGGTCCAGGATCAAGCCGATAGCTATTATCAGCTAACTGGTCCAGGATCAGGCTGCTAGCTTTAAACGGCCAACTGTTCAAGGCTGATTATTTATTTCCGCTGTCTCAAGCTGCTGTTGGAAGACAGATTATTCCCTGCATACCTAGAATAAAAGGTACAACAGGGGTGTTTAAAAAATAAATATTTATAAAAAATAACTCCCCCCCCCCTTTACCACTTTCTCATAAAAAATTGAGGATCACTGAACAAAATTAATATCCTACAAAGAATAGCCCTGAATAATATGAATAGCTTGATGAATTCAAAGTCGTCTTTGAACTTAGAAACAGTTTGCGGCATTCAACATGGGTAACCTGATTTTAGCAATATTTTTTTGAAACAATAATCACAGAATAGCCCTATTTCTGCCATTTCCAAAATGTGGTCCGCCATTTTTGTGCTTTCATAATTACCGAGAATATGAATGATTTCGTTCAGAACGAGGCTTTTTCATGATTTCATTTATTAAATTGTAATTTTAACAAAATTCTTAATATCTCTACCGTTTTTGAGAGCAAAACAATTGCGGACCGCATTTCGGAAATGGCAGGATTATGGCTATTTTATGATTATTGTTTTATAAAAAAATATTGCTAAATTTCAGGTTACCTACAATTAGTGTCGCAAGCTTTTTCTAAGGTCAAAGAGGACTTTGAAGTTATTAATCAGTTTATATTATTTTAGGTAATCTGGAATAGGGCTGTAAATTTTTATAAAATTAAATTAATTTGATCCAATAAAGAAATAGCCAAGAAAGAGATGATTTAATATTTTAGATCTAAATACAAATAGTAATTCAAAATTTAACAAAAAACTTTTTCACAAATAACTGCAATTGAAAAAAAAAATTATCTATCGAAAAACTGAATAAATTTAATAAAAAATATTAATTATACCCATTATCATCTTCTGGTTCATCCTCCTTCCCCTCCTTTTGCCTTTTCTCACAGATAAAGATAACAAGACAGAGAACAATGACCTAAATTAAAAATAATAAAGATGAAAGACAGAGAACAATAACCTAAATTAAAAATAATAAAGATAACAAGACAGAGAACAATGACCTAAATTAAAAATAATAAAGATAACAAGACAGAGAACAATAACCTAAATTAAAATAACAAAGATAAAAAGACAGAGAACCAATAACCTAAATTAAAAATAATAAAGATGACAAGACAGAGAACAATAACCTAAATTAAAAATAATAAAGATGACAAGACAGAGAACCAATAACCTAAATTAAAAATAATAAAGATAACAAGACAGAGAACAATAACCTAAATTAAAAATAATAAAGATGACAAGACAGAGAACAATAACCTAAATTAAAAATAATAAAGATGACAAGACAGAGAACCAATAACCTAAATTAAAAATAATAAAGATAACAAGACAGAGAACAAACCTAAATTAAAAATAATAAAGATGACAAGACAGAGAACAATAACCTAAATTAAAAATAATAAAGATGACAAGACAGAGAACAATAACCTAAATATTTTGAATTGACGAAACTAATTTCGATTAGTTCAAGTTGGCCTCCTAAACTCTCATTGGCTGAACCTCCACCTCAGTTTCTGCTTTTTACAAAACAAAAGTTTAAATATCTAAATGAATTGAGTCTTCGCCACAAAGTAAAATTTCTAATGTCCCTATATCTTTGCTACCTGAATTCATAGTTTGAAATATTTAAGGTCCATGACATTATGCTGCAAAGAAAAGGTCCGAGTAACATTACCTCCGCGACAATCCCAATAAAGGGCCAGAGAGCAGCTAGAGGATCTTTCACACGGAGAATAGTCTCAGATTCCTCACAGTAGATCTCATCTTCACAGTTGATATTCAACACATCCTGCAATATAGGAGTTTTTTAATAGGAGTGTTCACAATATTCTGGATTAAAGAGTGTTCGCAATATCCTGCAATATAGGAGTATTTTAATAGGAGTGTTCAGTGACGTTCACAATATTCTGGATTAAAGAGTGTTCGCAATATCCTGCAATATAGGAGTTTTTTAATAGGAGTGTTCACAATATCCTGGAATATTTACATTCTTTAACGGGTCTGTTTAGTGTTCAGTGTTTACAAAATTTTGTAAAATTTAGAGTTTTTAAGATTTGTGTTTTATAGCTTACTTGGGATTATTTTAACACAATTTAATGGACATTCCTTTCTTCACATTTTTCCCAGAAGTTATGCATGTTTACGCGAAGCGGGAATTTATTAAGGATTTTGTTTGCGAAATAGGGAAAAATAAATAATTTTTAATGGAAAAGGAATAAATTTAAAGAGAAAAGAATGAAAAAACCTTGCCTTTTGTTGTCAAATTTTTTTCATNTTATACCTTCAAATCAAATCAAATTATGAAATTTATGATAAGCTTTAGGCTCCAAACAGCAGCCTGGATGGGGGGTTCTTAATGTGTAAATTATTTGTGTAAATGTGAAACTGTGATGTTGCGTTTACCTTATTATCAACAGCAATAGCTCGGCAGGAATAAACAGCTCTATCCGTCAGCTGAGCATTATCTACCTGGAGCAGGGAGTACACTTCTCCTTCCTCACCCTGTAATTAAGAATAAATTTTGCATTTTTTATTCGTCACACTGTGAGCTAATAATATTTATGCTTTTCTCTCCTAATCCTTCAATAATTTGTTTAGTCATTTGTCTCTCCTTACACTTATGCTTCCTCGCCCTTCTATTGCTTTTTTTGTGTGTTTACTGTTTACTCTTAACCCCTCCCCACTCTTTAACACTTTATTTTTTCATTTACAACATTCATGCACTGCAATAATATGGTTCGCACGTTTCAGTTATTGCTCTGTAATTTGATTATGTTCGCACTTTTCCATTCCCTCTCATAATAACTATTGAACATCTTAAACCACCTCCCCCTGCAATACAAAGTTTGTTTGTCACTTTTCATTTTCCGCCCTGTACTATAACTATGATGAAAAGAATTTTTTCTTTCTTACAATGCCGTTTGTGATGGTGATTCGTTCCAGGAGTGGCAGGACAGGCTTCGGAGTCGTGGATTTCTTAGAATCTAGAAAAGAGTTATCAGTTTCAAGTGAAAATTTAGTATCGAAACCATTTAAATCGTCTGTGCTGTAAAATTCCACAAGTTGATTGCTAAGAAAGGTACAGCTGTTTTTTATTTATTAATTATAGAATGATATATACTTTGGAGAAAAAAACTCAGCGGGAGCGGTTGAACCAGCGGTTGAGAGCTAGCCTAGACTCTACGCAGTTCATAATAAGAAATTAAGAAGAAATTTACAATTTGTTCACTAAATCACACTTTTTCAACAAATGAAATATAATATTTCATGAATAACGTTTTCAGATTTTTTTAGCATCTTTTTTGCTTTCAACCGCTGGTTTTCAGATTTTTCAGCAACTTTTTGCTTTCAACCACTGTTTTAAAGATTTTTCAGCAACTTTTTTGATTTCAACCGCTGTTTTTCAGATTTTTCAGAACTTTTTTACTTTCAACCACTGGTTTAAAGATTTTTTAGCAACTTATTGCTTACAACCGTTTAAGATAATTCCGCAACTTTTTTGCTTTTAACCGCTGATTTAAAGATTTTTAGCAACTTTTTAACTTTCAACCGCTAATTTTCAGATTTTTCAGCAACTTTTTTGCTTTCAACCGCTGGTTTTCAGATTTTTCAGAACTTTTTTACTTTCAACCGCTGGTTTAAAGATTTTTCAGCAAAATTTTGCTTACAACCGTTTTTAAAATTTTCAGCTACTTTTTTGCTTATAACCGCTGATTTCCAGATTTTTTAGTAAACATTTTTCAACAACTTCTTTCTTTCAACCGCTGTGTTTACAATTTTCGAAAACTTTTTATTTCAACCAGAGAAATCATTTTTCATGTAAATGTTTTTGCTCTTAAGATATTAAAGCTTTTTTAGCTTTCAACCACTGGTTTAAAGATTTTTCAGTAACTTTATTGCTTTTAACCACTGGTTTGAGCATTTTGCTTTTAACTACTGATAAAATTGTCTTGAACAACATTTTTGCTTTCGACTGCTGGGTTAAAACTTAATAATTTTTTGTTGGCTTATATCCCAGATTTAAAATTTTAAAGCAGCGGTTAACAGCAAAAAAGTTGCTGAAATATCTTAAACGGTTGTAAGCAATAAGTTGCTGAAAAATCTTTAAACCAGTGGTTGAAAGCAAAAAGTTGCTGAAAAATCTGAAAACGTTTTTCATTAAAAACTGTTTTCTAGCGTGAATTAAAGCAATTAAAGAGGTTTAAAGAAAAAAGTTTCTGAAAAATCCTGAACCTAGCGGTTGAAAGCAAAAAAGTTGCCGAAAAATTTTAAAACCAGTGGTGGAAAGAGAACGTCTTTCATGAAAAATTATTTTCCATGGTGGATAAAAGGAACCCTGTGCAAGTAGTTAAAAGGAAAAAAGTTGCTGAAAAATCTTGAGCCCAGCGGTTGAAAGCAAAAAAGTGTGTTTAACTACTAAAAAAGTTTTAAAAAGTGAATAAAAATATGAATGAAAAAAGCAGGAATTTATTGATTGAACAAATTTTAAATTTGAGAAAAAAAAGGCGCATTTCTTATTCTGAACTGCGTAGAGTCTAGGCTAGATCTCAACCGCTGGTTCAACCGCTCCCGCTGAGTTTTTTTCTCCAAAGTATATATCATTCTTAATTATATACAGTGTGTCCCACATCATGTTTGATCATGATTGGCTCTAGCTCTGGATTGGAAAAAATAAAACCGTTTTTAAATTGCCGTTAAAATAACGAAAACCTTGTTAAAGCGACTGTAGCCATAATGTCCAATGGACAACGGTACCCTTAAAACCACCATCTGAGTGACAATGAGGAAGAAATTGTTTGTTTTTTTATCTTGGTTAAAGCATGCTAAATTCTAACATAATCCATCACTGTCTCCTAATCATAAATCCGCAACTCTTTTCCATAGAGAACCCAAAATTAAAAATAAGTTTAAGCTACACCAATAAGAATATCCTCATTCATCCTTGACCAGACAAAGGGCAAAAAGGTCTTTTTAAAAATGGTATCGGTTAAAATACGTTTACAGTCCCTTTAAATTACATTTCAATTGAATTCATACTGTCTATAATCTGTACCTTTAACCTCCTCAGTGTTTGGTCTAATCTCCTCTGGACAATTATCGTTAACTACTCCACACAGTGGGGTCAACTCACTTTCAGGTTCAGACATTTCAGGTCGGGTAAACCAACGGAATTCAACCTCATGGACTCCCTGCAATCATTGATCAATTAAAATATCGATTGATTTAGGTGGGTATTTAAACAAAAGGGGATGGTGGAGATGGCACATTTGATGTAAGGGGGGGGGGGCCTGCCTTCATTTTTGGTAAAATCTTCCAATTTTTTGGCTGCACGCCTAATTAGTGATCGAAATTCCTGAAATAAAATAAAATTGAATTTTAATGACCTCTAATGACCTCCACAAATAGAAAATATTTCAACTATGGCTTAATGCATATCAAACGAAAACTAGGAACCCAGGGAATACAGTAGCCGCAACAAATCCAGTGTTTGACCTTCTAATGACCTCTTACGACCTCTAATGACCTAAATGACCTCCAAAACTGAAAATAATTTAACTATGGCTTTATTCATATCAAACGAAAGCTAGGAACCCTGGGAATACAGAAGTAGCAAAAAATACAGTGTTTGACCTTCTATTGACCTCTTACGACCTCGAATGACCTAAATGATCTCCAAAAATGAAAATGTTTTAACTATTGCTTTATGCATATCAAAATTTGTCAAGATTTAAGCCGGCGCTCAATTGAAACCAGTTTTTGGCAGTTTTAAGCCGCGGCTCAAATTCATTAAATTCGGACACCAAACTCTTAAATAAAATTAAAATTCCTTTCTCCATTAAAATTTGAGTATTTTGCATGGAAATCTACTTCAAATAAAAAATAAAATTTTCCGTAATTCGAAAAAACTCTCATTAAACATGTTGATTTTGCATTAAGACTCACCGTTACAACGCATTTGATATCTTCTTTAGTATTTCCACCGATATCTACAGCAACAGACAAGGGAAGCTTCTTCATTCTGAAATCATTTAATCAATTAATAATCTAACCGATCAATCATTTAATCAACTTAAAATCAAATATTTGATCAATTAATCAATAATCAACCATTAAACAATACATTTAACTAATTATTGCAATCTCCTTACAACCCATTGGAGGAACCACCCAACAAAAACATATCGATTCTAGCTTACAATTACCTACCAACCAACCAATCAACTAACCACCCAACAAAAACATGTCGATTCTAGCCAACAATTACCTACCAACCAACCAATCATCCGATTAACCACCGTCAAATCAACCAACCAGGCAACCTTCCAACCAACCAACCGTCCACCTAACCACCCAACCACCCAACCAACCGTCCAACAATATTTATTACAAACCTACCCACCAGCCAAACAATTAATCACGCACCTGAAGACAAGCGCTACGTCGAACTCCTTGATGAGATTGTCCTCCTGGTCAAAGCACCCGTAGATCCCGAGGTTCTCGTCAACCAGCCTTTTGATGGTCAGCACGTTCCCAGACCGAACCAAGTTGTCGTCTGAAAAAAGAAAATTATTGGTTTAAAACAAGGTTTTTTGAGATAGGATTGAACAAAGAAAAATATTTAAACTAACTGGGTAGGTTGTTGAATTAGTGTAAATCGTACCCAGTTCAATTAGTGTAAATTGTACCCAGTTCAATTAGTGTAAATTGTACCCAGTTCAATAGTGTAAATTGTACCCAGTTCAATTCAATTAGTGTAAATCATGCCCAGTTCAATTAGTGTAAATTGTACCCAGTTCAATAGTGTAGATTGTACCCAGTTCAATTAGTGTAAATCATGCCCAGTTCAATTAGTATAAATTATACCCAGTTCAAGTCGTGTAAATTGTACCCAGTTTAATTAGTGTAAATCATGCCCAGTTCAATTCGTGTAAATTGTACCCAGTTCAATTAGTGTAAATTGTACCCAGTTCAATAGTGTAAATTGTACCCAGTTCAATTAGTGTAAATCATGCCCAGTTCAATTAGTGTAAATTGTGCCCAGTTCAATTCGTGTAAATTGTAGCCAGTTCAATTAGTGTAAATCATGCCAAGCTCAATTCGTGTAAATTGTACCCAGTTCAATAGTGTAAATTGTACCCAGTTCAATAGTGTAAATTGTACCCAGTTCAATTAGTGTAAATCATGCCCAGTTCAATTCGTGTAAATTGTACCCAGTTCAATAGTGTAAATTGTACCCAGTTCAATAGTTTAAATCATGCCCAGTTCAATTAGTGTAAATCATGCCCAGTTCAATTCGTGTAAATTGTACCCAGTTCAATTAGTGTAAATTGTACCCAGTTCAATTAGTGTAAATCATGCCCAGTTCAGTTAGTGTAAATCATGCCCAGTTCAATTAGTGTAAATTGTACCCAGTTCAATTAGTGTAAATTGTACCCAGTTCAATTAGTGTAAATTGTACCCAGATCAATTAGTGTAAATTGTACCCAGTTCAATTCGTGTAAATTGTACCCAGTTCAATTAGTGAAAATTGTACCCAGTTCAATTAGTGTTAACCATGCCCAGTTCAATTAGTGTAAATTGTACCCAGTTCAATAGTGTATGCTATCCTTTAATGTATAATGTAGTTTTTTCTCTCGAGCTGCTGCTTTATCAATACTTAAATATGAAATTACCAGCAATCCAGACATGAAAAAACGAAAAAAATGTATCTGTAAAAATTATATTTCGACCTTATTGTTTTAAAATCGTATGTACATGATAACATCGTAAGAAAGTTTTGTGTTAAAGCCATATTAACAATCTTGTAAACCATAACAACCTTGATACGTAAATAAATATCTAGTTTTTAAAAAGTACCCAGTTCAATTAGTGTAAACCATGCCCAGTTCAATTAGTGTAAATTGTACCCAGTTCAATAAGTGTAAATTGTACCCAGTTCAATTTGTGTAAATTGTACCCAGTTCAATTAGTGTAAATCATGCCCAGTTCAATTAGTGTAAATCATGCCCAGTTCAATTAGTGTAAATTGTACCCAGTTCAATTAGTGTAAATTGTACCCAGTTCAATTAGTGCAAATTGTACCCAGTTCAATTAGTGTAAATTGTTCCCAGTTCAATTGCCTTTCATTTTTCCGTCCTCTTGTGTAAATTCTGTTCTCTGGGTTTATATATTATATAGAACAGTATATTTACCTAAAGAGACTGTAATAGTTATCTCAAGTGACCCTCTATGCAAATGTGACAATGCTCGATCTGAGTCAGTTGAAATTACGCATACAGTCACTTTAAATTTTAAAAACTCCATTTGTAAACTAACTTTTACCTTTCTCAAGATTCTTGAACTCAATGGAGGAGATGTTTTCCTTTTTCTTCCAGGTAACATTTTCTCCGGTACAGTTCAGATTCACTTCTTTCCGGGCCTTGCAACAACAAATTTAATAATTTTTTAACAAAAAAAATGTTGTTGATTCAGATGATAATTGTGGGTATAGCTCGTTTACGTTCTAAATTTTGTTAAACCCTTCGTTAGTTCCGTATGTCGTTACATATGATGATCGTTAACATTCGTTAATTTATAATCGTTCCAGTTTCTTAGGCCATTACAGATTTCAATAATTTTTCGGAACTATGTGGTTGATAACGAAAAAAATAAAAATCGATCGCTCAATAAACATCAAAATGAGTTTATTATTTTTAAAAAGAAGTGAGCTAACTAAATAAAATTTTGCTATAGATTGTATGTGAAAGCGCGTGACCGTAGGCTCGGAGGAAGAGTTGTTGTGGCGAGGCTTCAGCATTGCTTAATACCTTTCCTAAGATGAGCTCCGAGCTTCCTTGAACAAGTCCCACGCACACCACCAGCAACCCAACCAGGCAGTTCATAACCATTCTGCAACACATTAATTTTGACCAAAGGAACGAGTGGATTTTATCATTCGACCCGCTCAAGGCTATTAAGGATGAGCGAAACTGTCAGTGCGCGTAGCGCTTCAACAAAAAATCTTATTCTCCCCTATATCTGTATTGCCAAGATTCTCCTTTTAATTTTTAGTTTTAGCATTCACACCAACCTCACATAAGTTGACTACGTACAGTTGACTACGTACAGTTAACTATGTACAGTTAACTATGTACAGTTAACTACGTACAGTTAACTATGTACAATTAACTACGCAACACTCATTTAGTCTTTTATTTTAATCAAAAAGGACTATTCGTATTTTGGAATTTCAGAATTTTCTCTCTATTTCAGTAGTTCAGCCTCAGTGCTTAGGATCAAATTAATTTTGATGCGGATCCGGATCCGCAAATTTTGACTTAGTTTTGACGCTTATTTTTAGGCCAAAACTTGATTAACCATTAAGAAATCAGGAAATTTTATAATCTCTCTTTATTCAACAATTTAAATGTAGAGGAAAACCAGTTTTTAAATCCGGATCCGTGGATCCGCATATTTTTGCGCATTTGGATTCAGGAAGACAAAATATTGCGGAACCAACGGATCAGGATCCTAAGTCTCCTAAGCACTGCTGAGAAGTCAGGGATGAGAAATTCTTCAGGTTGTAATGCTCTTAAAAGGCCCTCAAACGTGGATAACATGTTTAACAAGCAATGCTTAACAGTCTCATACGGAATTAACACGTAAGGGGACTGATAAAATTGTTTATTCAATAGTTTAGTTTTAGTTTAGTTTTGTAGATTTGTCATCAGAGTTCCAAATAGGAGCATAGAGATGACGGTAATTTCCTAGTATTTAAGACAGACCCTATATGTTTATTTTTAAGGAATCAATACCGTAAATTCTTGAGCATTTTAAGGCACATATTTTGAACAAAATGAATTAACTAATTCATGTGGCAGTCACAAAGCACGCATTGCTTGATATGATAGATTTAAATTTACAACTGCAGTTCTGAGTTCAATTTAGCATCTGTTTCGGAAGAATAGTCACAAACAAATAAGAGAGTTCGAATCGATTAATTCCAAGAAGAATAAGTTATCTAATTTAAATTATAAACAACAAAAATAACAGAATTTTTGGTAATTTCCTAGTATACGATTTACTAGGACAGACCCGAATTTTTTCCTGCTTCACTCTTCACTTCGCGGAATGGTAAATAAAACTTAATCTTAACAATAAAGAGAACATAATGAACACGGAGATAAATTCACAGAAATGAGATAAACATTTGTAGCAGTCCTGTATTCTAGTTAGTCAGCTGAGACCTGACTGACTGATTTCGATTCTGCCTCAGGCAAGGGGAGGCAAGGTTTGGTTTGGTTAGTAAATTTTAGAAAGGGGGATTTTTGTAGATTTCATTCTTTGATATTACCTGACTATTTACTTTAATTCTATCCTGGGAATCCTAGAGAAGGATTTAGATTAGAACTCTATCCAGGAAATTGGTTTAAACTAGAACTCTGATATCCATGAAAATGTTTCAACCATAACTCTAATATCCAGGAAAATAGGAGAAATAGGACTTCCCGGACACACAGGAGAACTATAATAGATATCCAGGACACATAGGAGCTAGGACTTCTTGGATATCCAGGATAGGAGCTAGAACGTATGTAGAAGCTCCATCTCCTCTCAATGGAGACCCACAATTATTATGGAGCAACTAGAATACCAATGGGCAATGACCTCGTCGACCTCGTCAAGGGATACAGAGGAAAACTAGAATATTCAAAATATCAGATGCTGCCTACAGCTGAGACTGGAGATGCTAATCTTCACATATCTGGAGCAGCTAGAGGATCTAGCCAGACTTAGGACTTCAAGAGCAGAAGCTAGCCCTGTTGTGGAACCACTGCTAAACCAGAGGATGCTGAGAATGGAGACGCCGCTCATTGTGGAACCGCTCTTCACAGATTTATTGTAGACAACAATGATGATAACCATGATGATAACAATGATGACAATATTAATGATTATCATGATGATAACAAGATGACAACAATGAAGATAACAATGATGATTACCATGATGATAACAATGATGACAACATTGATAAATACAACGATGATAACCATGATGATAACAATGATGACAACAATGATAACAACGATGATAACAATGATGATGACAATGATGACAATGATGACAACAATGAGGATAACAGTTAGGATAACAATAATGATAACAGAGACTCAGGAGCAGCTCGAACTGCGAGTAAGGCTAACATAGCAAAGAAGCTCTAGGAGCAGCTCGAACTGTAAGTAAGGCTAAAGCAGCAGAGACTCTGGATATCAGAGTTGGCAAGTCCATCTCCTGGATATCAGAGTTCTGATTCAATTCCTTCTACTGGTTATCAGAGTTCTGTTTCAATTCCTTCTCCTGGATATCAGAGTTCTTGTTCAAGTCCTTCTCCTGGATATTAGAGTTCCGGTTTAAGTCATTCTCCTGGATATCAGAGTTCTGGTTCAAGTCCTTCTCCTGGATATCAGTGCTGGTTCAAGTCCTTCTCCTGGATATTAGAGTTCTGGTTCAAGTCCTTCTCCTGGATATCAGTGCTGGTTCAATTTTTTCTCCCGCAGATATCAGAGTTCTGGTTAATTTCTTTATCCTGATATCCAGGTACTGATAAAATTGTCTTGAACAACNNCCCCCGACTTTTTATGAAAAGGAGAACGAATTGTTTGAGAAAAGAACAGTATAAAATCATTTCCATAATTTATTTACATTATATGTTGGAGTCCTTAATATAAATTATTTTGTATATAATATACACTAGCCGACCACTATTGTTCAACTGTTCAATTGAATTACAATTCATGATAATTTTGCAATGTTCTTGTTTTCTAAAACCGTATTTTATACATGATTGGACCATAGCAATAGAAGAGCTAGAAAGGTCTTTCAAGCTGTTAATATGCAACAATTTTAAACTTAAGTTTGTTCTTTCAATTCTTCTCAAAAGTTTTGTTTTTGACGACTAAAAAAGCTGCGTTTGTAAAAAATAAGAATTATAATTATTATTTAAATAAAGGCACTTTTTTGGACTTTGGAAAAAACAAACTAGTGCAATTTGTATAGGTGGATCTGTTTCAACCAGTCATGATGTATTTTTTACCCATCTTTCTGATATTTTACATTTTGAATTATGGTTTTTCTCAGATTATATATTCCATATGAAGTACAAGACACGTAAAACCTAGGATGATCATTTTAGGAAAGTATTGTAAGTTTCTGAGTGGGTTTCTTTGATTGAGCCAGTTGTTAGCCATGATGAGCCGGGAGGTGCCGACCGTAGCACTAACGATCGGGATGTATTTTTCGAGCAAACTCTGTCCTTTTTACAGGATTTAATCCTGGATACTTTTACTTTAAGTAATAGTTAAAAGAATAATAACAATTATAATTATTGCTTACAACCTAGAGTTTCTTTAACAAAATGTATTAATCTATTGAAAATATATTTTCAAAATCTCCACTAATGGAGTGACATGTCAGATTCACAACGATACCCTAGATACCCTAAACATCATTATCTGAGCAAAAATGAGGGAACTCGGACGTTTTCTCAGTGTTAGAAATGGCCAAGTGTTAGTCTTGGAACTAATATCCCCTGAAATACAAAAATATTATAAAGAAAATATATTTACGTTTAAACATGAAATGAAATCACTAGAATTTGATACATTTATCATAAAATTTTTTCTGTAAATTTAATTTTACTATAGAATATATATATAAGGGTTCTTAGAAAATTTTAGCCAAGATTCGACAATGATCAAAGAATAAAAAATAAAACAGAAATTTATGTAACAATTTTGCAAACAATTAATGATAAAAAATAATATAACATAAAGAGCGAACAAATAAAATAATAAACCCTTCAATTAAAGCGTACTGCAATTATTTTGATTTTCTAAAGGGTCATAACAAACCCAAGCAGTTCAATAATGCGTTCAATAATGAAAGACTTGTTAATCCAAAAGCCTAGTTTTGGATTTAAAATAGAAAAATACATATATGTATAATATATAATTTATATGACTAAAGATATTTGAAAGATCACTCTAGTGTCCAGTGTTCTAAATCAGCCTGGAGGATTTTTGTTTGTCCTTGGTTGAAAATGGTTGTAAATTGTCTGTTTTGTGAATAATGCCAATTCCATGTTTATTTTCGAGGAGAAAACTTGGGGTTAGAGGGTCCGCGGGTAAATGACCTGAAATAATCAAATTATTAATTTTCTTATATTTAAGATGCTACAAGTCGTAGTCGTTAATGTCAATACAATGAAGACGACTTGTTATGAGGGCTCGTTGAAATTGAAAAGACGTCGCATTGTCTTGGTAAACACGGCGACCATGGTATTTCATTTAAATAAAAATAAAAGTTTGTCAGTTCAATTAAAAAAACCGCTTTAAAGAATTTTTTTGATCGATTCTAGTCAATATCTGGCGAGATATCGAGGTTTTTTTTAAAGACACACACCCCACCCTGTAAAGCTGGAGACACCTTGTACAGCTGGAGACACATTTTAAATTCTTAGTAACGTTTTTCTGTTTAAGTTATTTTCCATAAATTTCTTATCTCAGGACAAGGAGATATGTTTTGATAGAAACCGGTTTCCTGCATGGTCCCTGACAGTGTTAATGGAAACCTCTATCATCCTCTAGGAATTTGAAATGGTATTTACCCTCTTTGTTTGATCCTTGATGCAAGTTCTTGTAAAGAGTAAAATAGTTTACTAACGTTCTTGAAGAAACTCGTAAAAATTTACATTGAAAAAGGTAATAATACATAATCACCCTCATCCGCGAGAACCAGAAACCAGATAAATTTGCTCCGCAATACCAAGTTAAACTTTTTTTGGCTCTTCAGGAACACTGTGCAAAAATTAAGAATAAACCAATATAAGTTCAAGAACAACTCAAAAAATGAACGAATAGACAAAAAATCCAAAGAAAACCCCAATATAAGATCAAGAACAACTCAAAAAATGAACGAATAAAAGACCAAGAACACACCTAAAAATAACCGAATGAAAGACTAAGAACAAACCGAAGAATTACGAATAAAAGTCAAAGAACAAACCAAGGAATAACCGAATAGAAGACCAAGAGCAAACAATCAAACCAAAGAATAAATTAACAGAAGACCAAGAGCAAACCATCAAACCAAAGAATAAACGAACAGAAGACCAAGAGTAAACCATCAAACCAAAGAATAAACGAATAGAAGACCAAAAAATCCAAAAAATAGACTACAAAAAAATAAAAAAATAAACAAATTTAAGAAATAAAATCCAAAAGAACGAAAAAAAGACAAAAACAAAGAATAAAAGAATGTAAGACAAAAAATAAACCACAGAATGAAAAATAGAATCAAATCAAATGAGACCTGTAGAATATGAAGAGCAAACCTAAGAACTAACGAATATAACACCAAGGACGAACCATAAACTGAAAAAATCACCTGAGTTCGAATCCCTTCCCCTGTTGATGATCTGAAGCTGTGTCAAGATCAGATTTACGGAATATAATCATCCTAACATCAGTGTGCAGGTAGATCTTACCAGACCTGGAGCTCGTCAACCTAACAAAGGGATTGTTAACAAAATTTCAGTAGACCCTCAGTTTCATTATTTCTTGGAATAGGTATGACTGGAATAAATCAAGTTCAACAGTAAAGACACACAAGAAAAACGACTTAACTTGTTTCGCCCATCCTTGATTATAGGTTTTAAATTAATAGGGTCGTCGACAAAACTTTAAATAAATATGGTTTTGTGAACAATAGATAAAATAAATAAATATTCAATTTGTAGTAAGACCCAATAAACTGTGTAACAAACTCAAGTTCCGATATAAATAGTCCAATTAACAAGATACAACAATTAAACAGTGGAACATTTCATAACAGTGGTAGGCGATATTATTAATAAAATGAAGACGACATTTTTTTAAAGTTTTTTATAGTAAACAAGCTTTGTTTCGAATTTCAAGTTATTAAAAGAAGCTTATCTAATTGACAGCTACCCTTTGTTTCCATGTTTTTGCGAATCATGCTGTTTAAATGCTTGATTTAAATTAAAATTGAAATCGAAAGCAGTCTTCAATATATTGAAATAATCGCCTGCCACCGTAGATAAGTTGATTTCAAGCCACTAGAAAAACTTTTAGATTTAAAACATAACAAAAACATAAGATTGTTTGAATGTCGATTTCCACAGATTGATCGGGCAACTGTACCTTAGATGAATAAGATATCTCAACCATTTCCTGGCATCCTCGTGTGTATCAGACTGACCGGCCGGCATATACAACGTCCGTTGTCGTAGGAACGTCTGGCTGTTGGGCGGCATATCGCTGAGATCGTACATCACGACGAACATCTTTACCACGGTGCCCAGGGGGTTGAACAGGGTGAGCTGTATAGTTCCCTTCTCAGGGACACGGTATCCCTTCTTACCCAGGTTGATGTGTCCCTAAACATTATATGTATTTAATATATAAAACAAAAATGATTCTTTCTAAACCTAAACATTTTATCATCTCAAATAATTATGTATATTTTATTTGCTCACTTTTGTAAATGAAAGAACGTAAATTTAAACATTTTGGCGAAAGGACCAACCTTAATTATGCATATTTCTTGGTCTCTGAGCATCTTTTTGAGCTTTTCCAAAACTATAGCACTCAAATAAATTCTTAGGTTTTCTATAAAATCACTTCTTACCAAATATGGTGAGGCAATATTAGAGTTCTCACAGAGTGTGTAGAAGAATACAGTAACAGGGAAGGTAAGATGCCTGGGATGGAAGGTTCCAGAAGCTCCAATCTCCGCTGTAAATCCCTCTACGGTAGAAACAGGTTCCAGCCGGCCGTTCAACACAGATTCTTCAAAGTTTCCGAGTAGGTTGTTTCCGGTGACGGTGGCCGGGGCCGAGGTAGATAACAATCGGCGGGGATCAGGCTTCTTTTTCTTCGTTGATCCGCAGAATGAAGAATCCTCGGGACTTTGACTCTCAAACAACGCGCGTTTAATATCTTTCGGCGTTGATATCCCCGAATCAAAATCAAATTTTATTCCTCGTCGCATTGGAGCCGGCGAAGAGGTGAGTGGAAGCCCGTTCCTGCTGTGAAACACCATTGAAGTTGCCGAGTCGAACGACTTTCGAAACGCAGCTTTCTTATTTGCAGATGGAATTGTGTCATCTTCGATTGAATTGCGTCGTTTTTCAGATTTTGATTTTGGTTCCGTATCTACGCTTTCAACAGAAAAAGATAAATTATCATAGAAATCCTCAAATGACATATCAAGGGGTTCCAAAGTTTGGATTCCATAGTTAATAAATTTGAAGGGGCTTGAGGCCTCAGAATAGCTTCTCAACCTTGCTCCGATCATACCGGTCAATCCGTTGGTTCCGTTTACATTGGTTATCTCGCTGGGAATATTCTCCTTGTCCCCATTATGTCGACTAATTAAACATTTCTTCTCCAACTCCTGGCAAAGATCAACCACGTTGTAATCAGGGCCCGGAGACAGGTTCGGTTTCTCCAGGTTGGATGATTTGCCTAGATCCTGAACTAAAGAAGTGTCGGGGGTGAGGGGAGAAACCTCACTACTACTTGAACTATAAGTATTGGTTTGTCTAACTGAATGAATAGCGGGGACACAAGCCAGTTCTTGGCTTTCTTCCTGTAATGCCCCTAAAAGAACGTCATTTTGTACATGCTCTGTAAGTCCTTCATCCTCTTTTGGATCTTCCCCATGAAGTGCAGATCTAACGGACCATGAAGAATCTAAAGAAGGACTCCTGCAAACCTCAGCTCTCCAAACTTGAGTTATCTGCGGAGAAATCTTAATCTCCGACGGATCTACAAGATCCTCAATGGAAGAACGACGAGATTTTGTTGGATAGAGGATATCCTCCAGACAGTCATCTTTCAAGGAGGACCGTCCCTGGTCTTTAGAACATGAAGGAGAACTCCTGGATTTTAAATTGAACAAAACATCTTCCATTTCGGAGGAACTGATGTTAGAATCATCACTCTTTTTTGCACAGAGCACAGTCTTAGGTTTCAGTCTTAGCTCAGCCTGTGATGAATCGCTGGAGCTATCTCTACTGTATGGAGTTGAGGTTCGGCCTAGTCTAGAGCTCCAACCCTTCTGTTTAGCACCTAGCTCGGACTGTTTGTAATTATCTCCTGTAGGAGAACAGGAGGAACCTGCATCAAGAGATCTAGCTCCTTCATCAACCTCATCGTACTCACAGATATGCTTTCCAGAGATATTGCAATGGTTTGGAAGTCGGTCTGACATAGGTTGAGGCTTCAGACAGGGAGCACCACTGCATGGAATCGCTGTAGATGGGGTAACAGCTCTGCATGGAATAGAATGGGATGGTCTAGGTGTGTTAGGTGGTAAGGAAAGACGGGGAGGAGCGTGAAGAAGTTTAGGATGAAGACCCAGGAACAGGTTCATGTCTCGTCGTCGCATAAGATCATGTCGATCCAATCTGAAGTCTGGTGAATCCTCCCCTGATCTAGTAGCCATTGTTTGCTCATAAGTCGGTAGGATTCCTCTCATATCTTTGGTCTCCCTCCGACCTCCTAGGAGATGATCTGGAGCCTCCAGGCTAGGAGATCCACATCTAGATGGAGACTGATATCTCCTGGGTGCCATCTTACTGAGACTCTGTGGAGGATCCAGGAGGCTGTCTCCAAGGATACTATCCATACTGTCGGATTTTATCAACCTACCAGAGCACCCGATGTCACCTGGAGCAGATTCTGTTGCAGCTAACTTTGCCCGAACCAGAGATCTCCGGAGATCGCTTGGATCTCTCCAAGATAATGATCCTGCAATAGTAAGTTTCTCCTCTTCTTTCTTCTCCTCATTTCCGACCAGAGTATGAGAACAGACCACCAGCGGGATGTCATCAGTTCGGGGCAAAGAACGAACCGAGACGGCAACTGAAGATTTATATCCGACGCTTGCCACCGGGAAGTAATGCTCTTCAGGAGCCCTAGTGAACTTAGTAGCAAACTCCTGACCCGGGATAGTAATTCTGATGAGAATATTACTAGGACTGGTTCCTCCGGTCTTACTGTACCAGGCAGAGAGTTGAGAGAAGTGAAGGTAGGATCTGACCGCCTGGAGAAGGGACAGGGAATCCGTCCCAGGGAGGGCAGAGTGGGGTAGGACGGATACAGTCCATTGTTCTAGTAGGATGGAACCTGGTTCAGGGAGGGTTGTTACCTCCAGGGAACCAGCCTTAGCTCTACCCACTCTACAGTCAGAACATAACAGTACCTAACAAATATCAAATAAGCAACGTTAAAATACAAAAAATCAATATTTTTTCTTATTTGAAAGCAGATTGGAGTGAAATTAGGTTCTGAGTTTTTAATCAAAGCAGTGCAGTGTACTTTACACTGTACAGTATATTAATTCAATAGTAGTGTAGTGTAGTGTAGTGTAGTGTAGTGTAGTGTAGTGTAGTGTAGTGTAG